GGGGAAAGGATCTCAACAGGGAAAGGGGGCAAAGGATCTTAGGGAGGAAACGGGAGAAGATCTTGGGGGGGAAAACGCCTTAGGGGGGAAAGGGCGGGAAAGGATCTCAACAAGGAAAGGGGGGAAAAGATCTTAGGAAGGAAAAAGGGGGAAGATCGCGGGGGGAAAAAAGGCCTTAGGGGGGAAAGGAGGGAAAGGATCTCAACAGGGAGAGGGGGGAAAACATCGTAGGGAGGAAAAGGGAAAAACTCAGAGGGAGAAAGGGCCTTAGGGGGGAAAGGGGGAATGGATCTCAACAGGGAAAGGTGGCAAAAGATCTTAGGGAGGAAAAGGGAGAAGATCTCAGGGGGGGAAAGGCCTTAGGGGGGAAAGGGGGGAAAGGATCTGAGCAGGGAAAGGGGGGGAAAGATCTTAGGGAGGAAAGGGAGAAGATCTGGGGGCAAAGGCCTTAGGGGGGAAAGGGGAGAGAAATGATCTCAACAGGGAAAGGGGTGGAAAAGATCTTAGGGAGGAAAGGGAGAAGATCTGGGGGAAAAAAGGCCAACAGGAAAGGGGGGAAAGATCTACGGAAGGAAAAGGGAGAAGCTCTCAGGGGGGGAAAGGCCTCAGGGGGAAAGGGTGGGAAGGATCTCAACAGGGAAAGGGGGGAAACAATCTTAGGAAGGAAAGGGGGGGGGGGAAGATCTTAGGGAGGAAAGGGAGAAGATCTGGGAGAAAAGGACTTAGGGGGGAAAGCCCAACAGGGAAAGGGGGGAAAAGATCTTAGGAAGGAAAAGGGAGAAGCTCTCAGGGGGGGGAAAGGCCTTGGGAGGGAAAGGGGGGAAAGGGTCTCAACAGGGAAAGGGTGGGAAAGATCTTACGGAGGAAAGGGGGGGGAAGATCTTAGGGAGGAAAGGGAGACGATCTGGGAGAAAAGGACTTAGGGGGGAAAGCCCAACAGGGAAAGGGGGGAAAAGATCTTAGGAAGGAAAAGGGAGAAGGTTTCAGGGGGGGGAAAGGTGTTAGGGGGGAAAGGGGGAAAAGGATCTCAGCAGGGAAGGGGGGGGGGGGAAAGATCTTAGGGAGGAAAGGGACAAGATCTGGGGACAAAGGCCTTAGAGGGGAAAGGGGAGAAATGATCTCAACAGGGAAAGGGGTGGAAAAGATCTTAGGGAGGAAAGGGAGAAGATCTGGGGGAAAAAAGGCCAACACGGAAAGGGGGGAAAGATCTACGGAAGGAAAAGGGAGAAGCTCTCAGGGGGGGAAAGGCCTCAGGGGGAAAGGGTGGGAAGGATCTCAACAAGGGAAAGGGGGGAAACAATGTTAGGAAGGAAAGGGGGGGGGAAGATCTTAGGGAGGAAAGGGAGAAGATCTGGGAGAAAAGGACTTAGGGGGGAAAGCCCAACAGGGAAAGGGGGGAAAAGATCTTAGGAAGGAAGCTCTCAGGGGGGGGGAAAGGCCTTGGGAGGGAAAGGGGGGAAAGGATCTCAACAGGGAAAGGGTGGGAAAGATCTTACGGAGGAAAGGGGGGGGGAAGATCTTAGGGAGGAAAGGGGGACGATCTGGGAGAAAAGGACTTAGGGGGGAAAGCCCAACAGGGAAAGGGGGGAAAAGATCTTAGGAAGGAAAAGGGAGAAGCTCTCAGGGGGGGGGAAAGGCCTTAGGGGGGAAAGGGGGAAAAGGATCTCAGCAGGGAAGGGGGGGGGGGGAAAGATCTTAGGGAGGAAAGGGACAAGATCTGGGGACAAAGGCCTTAGAGGGGAAAGGGAAGGGGTGGAAAAGATCTTAGGGAGGAAAGGGAGAAGATCTGGGGGAAAAAAGGCCAACAGGGAAAGGGGGGAAAGATCTAAGGAAGGAAAAGGGAGAAGCTCTCAGGGGGGGAAAGGCCTTAGGCGGGAAAGGGTGGGAAGGATCTCAACAGGGAAAGGGGGGAAACAATCTTAGGAAGGAAAGGGAAAAGATCTGGAAAGGCCTTAAAGGGAAGAAGGGCAAGGATCTCAACGGGAAAAGGGGGCAGAGGATCTTAAGGAGGAATAGGGAGAAGATCTCAGCGGGGGGAAAGGCCTTAGGAAGGAAAGGAGGGAAAGGATCTCAACAGGGAAAGGGGGGGAAAGATCTCAGTGAGGAAAGGGAGAAGATCCCAGGCAGGGAAAAGGCCTTAGGGGGGAAAGGGGGAAAGGATCTCAACAGGGAAAGGGGGCAAAGGATCTTCGGGAGGAAAAGGGAGAAGGCCTTAGGGGGAAAAGGGGGAAAGGAGCTCAACAGGGAAAGGTGGGAGAGGATCCTAGGGAGGAAAAGGGAGAAGATCTTGGGGGGAAAGGGGGAAAGGATCACAACCAAGGGAAAAGATCTTGGGGAGGACAAGGGAGAAGATCTCAGGGGGGAAAAAGCCTTAGGGGGGAAAGGGCGGGAAAGGATCTCAACAAGGAAAGGGGGGAAAAGATCTTAGGAAGGAAAAGGGGGAAGATCGCGGGGGGAAAAAAGGCCTTAGGGGGGAAAGGAGGGAAAGGATCTCAACAGGGAGAGGGGGGAAAACATCGTAGGGAGGAAAAGGGAAAAACTCAGAGGGAGAAAGGGCCTTAGGGGGGAAAGGGGGAATGGATCTCAACAGGGAAAGGTGGCAAAAGATCTTAGGGAGGAAAAGGGAGAAGATCTCAGGGGGGGAAAGGCCTTAGGGGGGAAAGGGGGGAAAGGATCTGAGCAGGGAAAGGGGGGGAAAGATCTTAGGGAGGAAAGGGAGAAGATCTGGGGGCAAAGGCCTTAGGGGGGAAAGGGGAGAAATGATCTCAACAGGGAAAGGGGTGGAAAAGATCTTAGGGAGGAAAGGGAGAAGATCTAGAAAAAAGGCCAACAGGGAAAGGGGGGAAAGCTCTAAGGAAGGAAAAGGGAGAAGCTCTCAGGGGGGGGGAAAGGCCTGAGGGGGGAAAGGGTGGGAAGGATCTCAACAGGGAAAGGGGGGAAACAATCTTAGGAAGGAAAAGGGAGAAGATCTGGAAAGGCCTTAAAGGGAAGGGGGGAAAGGATCTCAACAGGGAAAGGGGGCAAAGGATCTTAAGGAGGAATAGGGAGAAGATCTCAGCGGGGGGAAAGGCTGTAGGGGGGAAAGGGGGGAAAGGATCTCAACAGGGAAAGGGGGGGAAAGATCTCAGGGAGGAAAGGGAAAATATCCCAGGGAGGAAAAGGCCGTAGGGGGGAAAGTGGGGGAAAGGGAGGAGAAGGGAGAAGATCTCAGGGAGGAAAAGGCCTTAGGGGGGAAAGGGGGGAAAGGATCTCAACAGGGAGAGGGGGGAAAACATCTTAGGGAGGAAAAGGCTAAAGGGAAAAAATCAGAGGGAGAAAAGGCCTTAGGGCGGAAAGGGGGAATGGATCTCAACAAAGAAAGGGGGGCAAAAATCTCAGAGGGGAAGGGGGCAAGGGGACAATTGCAAAGGGACGCAAGTAAGAAAGCAGGCCTGTAATGTCGGCGGCCTGAGCCGGAGGCGTTAAAATATGATACACAGAGAGAGAGAGAGAGAGAGAGAGATAGCGCGAGAGAGAGAGAGAGAGAGATCAAAAGGCTACATTTCTAAGTTCAACACAAGATGGACCAATGTAGCCCTCTATTTGACAAAATGTAACATCATTCTCTACGTTAGACTGAATCTGTACAATGTAAAGTAACGGGCTGGCAAGTAGAATATATTGCTTAAATAAGATGACATTTCACATTTCCAAAGTAAAAACACAGTTAGAATCAATAGCAGCACACACTTAGAATAAATCGAAACGTGAGATAGAATATGTCGACCAAACCAAAAATAATATTTCGAAACAGTTGCAATATTTCAAAACAACGGTTTCTGTTATGAACAACTACTCTGCAACACATGTCCTAGCTGCTAGCCGTTTGCTCTCTCTATATATATATATATGCGGTTTTCAAGACATCATGTGGGTCCCATAATTTTCCATTTGGGTCCGTCTTTCTTTGGAGGGTATATATCCATTTAGGTGGCTGGCTCAAAGCAAAACCACACGGAAACCAACCATTTTGAGGCGTCCCCCAAAGAAAGACACGCGCATTTACCCAAGGAATGCATGGCTTCTCTCCTTTTTCGGAGCTCAAAAGATCAGCCTGACGTGCCACGCCCCTCTCCCGCGAACAGTTAGAATATTTCATATACAGAATACTCTCCAGAGACTCAAACGGTACCGAGCCCAAAATATACATGAACACCATGGCGGGGGGGAGGGGGGGAAGATAGAATATTTGCGCTTGGCAAGTGATTAATCGTATAACAGATATAATAGAGATAGTAGATATTGATTTGCGTATTTTTTGAGGGTACCCCAGCATATTCCAACAAGGGGTGGCCTTCCTTTCCCTTTTACCCAACCACAAACGGCACCGACCCCAAAGTATGCATGAACACCATGGGGGGCGCACAGTTAGACTACTTGCTTTGTGCAAACCTGATAGATTCGATATAGAGATAGTGTATATTGATTTGCTTATTTTTTGAGCACTGTATTTCAACAAAAGTCCTGGCTCGGAGGGCTCGTTTTTACCGCCCGCATACAACTCCAAAATTTATGTATTTGAGAAGAGAAACGTTACAAATGCAAATGTAGCGGGTGGTCATTTTATACAAATGCAAGCAAGGGTGATTAGAGTGTCTATATATATATATATTAAACCAGTATTATGATTTATGCATATATATATTATATATATATACATGTATACATATATATATATATATAGTGTACATATGATACGCGTACATGCTATGTGTATCTATACAACATACATTCTGCCAAGACGGTGCAACAGTAGACTAAGCTTGCCGGCAGATTGCACAAAGCAGACCGGCAGATTGCACATAATTTTCAAGACAAATGTGCAAACCGAACAACATCACACAGTAATCATTGAGACAACGGGCTACGTCACCAAAAGTCGAGGGTGGAGGCTTGTGTGCCAGAGGATTTTACAGGATGCCAAGTGGAACACCTAGGGCCACCCCAATTTGTTTGAGCACCTGCAACAGCAGGCACCAGCAGGAGCAAGAAGGAATTCAGCAGGGCAGCAACCTCGAACGCGCAAGCCGCCCACTTGGAGGGCAAGATGAGGCTGTGCCAAAACATCGGTTGATAATGCTGGAGAAGTCAGGGGTCACTGCCTTTCCCCCTTCAAAGTTGCAAATGACTGGTGGTTTCCACTCAAACTGTCGCTTTTGCAGGTCCAAACATGGGAAATTGAGGGATCCATGGAAGTACACAGAAGATTTGCCTGGAAACATGGAATCTGCGAGAACTTGTCATCAGGTCTTCTTCTTCTCGAGCTGAAAATGATTTGCCAATGTTGGTTAAATTATGTTACTCCTGTGAACACATGCCGCTTCCCTGATACAGGTAAACCACATCGATTGGCACATTCCGGGTAGAAGGACCAACATGTTTGGAGCAAAACAAGTGGCCAACTGGAGGCTGCAGGTTTCCCGATAGACCGTCACTACCATTGGAGACAAGTTTCACACGTGCCAGCATGGAAAAAGAGCCAAGAGCGCAGGGTTGGCCTTTTGCATGTTGATGCAAATTCCGGCGATTGTCTAATCCTCCAGCAAATTGCAAAGTACGGCGGCCAAAAAAATGGCTATCAGGCGCTTGACGAAGCAAGGCTTTAAACTACTAGCATGGCTTTTCGGGAACAGGCGGTCTGTTTGGGGCTTGTTCTACGTGATGAGTGAGGCGAATGGGAACCAATTCAAGGGGAACCCTGAAAATGAATGGTCTGTTTTTCGTTTCCCTTTGAAACCATGCAACGGACTCCCCCAAGCAAAACACACACACACCCATTTCATCCCAACCACCCCCTCAAATTGATTTTTGGACCGAAGTCGCCATCCAGGTGCCGAAGCCGCCCAAGCACCGCACCCAGCTCCGCACCTGAAATCGAAAGACTCACCAAATGCCAAAGCCGGCACAGCCGAGGGGCGGAAGCAAAATTTACGAATAAAAGCTATCTTTGTCTTGATTTTCTTGCCTCTCTCTCTCTCGCTCTCTCTCTCTCTCTCTCTTTCGCATGCTCGTTTGTTTCTCGCTCTCTTTCTCTCTCTCTCTCTCTCTCTCTCTCTCTCTCTCTCTCTCTCTCTCTTTTTCCCATTCCTTGTCTGCTTCTCTTTCTCATTTTTTTCTTGCTGTCATCCTATTTTATCTTCCTCTCTCCCTCTCTTTGCCTGTCCATCTCTCTTTCTCTTTTTCTTCTTCTTTGACTTTATTGTTGTCCTCCTCTGGTTGTCTCTCTCTCTCTCTCTCTCTCTCTCTTATTTATCTTAATAGTTGCTTCCACTCTACATTTAGCTATGTTTGTTTTCATGGTTTCTCATCCTCTTTGCGGTTCTTTTTATCATTTCCTCTCTCTCTCTCTCTCACGCAACCACGGCAGCAACACGCCATTTCGGCCAGTCCTGTTGCAGGTCCTAAAAAACTCCTCGCCCTATGAATTCAAACAACCACCTTGCAGTCTGAATCACTACATCACCCATCTTAGTGTCCCGATAATTACGTATCGTACTGTTCCCTGATGTCATACATGGAGGCTTGAAATATGAACCCTTCCCGACGTAAAAGCAAACCAGCGGACTACACTTCTTGGCCAGACCTCGACCCAAAAAAGTAACCTCTCGCTTGCCATGGAACGAGGAGGAAGCGCAAAGCTCAGGTATTCCCACCCAAAAACTTGGCACGCAGCAAAGTTGAGACTGACACCCAAGGGGCAAGGAAAGGCAGATGTGGTCGAGTCTCTCCAAATGGACCTTTTGGTCAGGGGATCAACGGACAACAATCCCCATTTAGGTAACTGCTTTGAGAAAAAAACCCTGTGGTTGTCTATTTTTTTAGGGGACACATGTGCGATCTTTCATGGGTTCCAGGTCGGTGACGGTGCCGTGGGGGTTCCGCCCTCTTTTCGGTTGATTTCATGGGAACACCTCTCCCCAAAAAAGGCATAGGAGTCTAGGTACACAAATGGGACCCTACTCCTGATTAAATCAGTGCGGTCCTCCAGATTAGTCCGACATTCGCATTGGTCGAACAACCCTATCCCCCAGCTTGCCAAAGTGCGAAGCAGCAGCTCAGGAAGCACGCTGCAAGCGCCAGCCCCACCCAATCTCCGCCTGACAATTCTGGCGACGATACATGAATATGAGTATGTGTGGGAAATAGGGGACCCCGCAACGTAGCTGGTTTCCTTTTGTCCCTTTAAACCAACCCCAAATGGACCCATTAATATGGGGCACCATGCAAACCCTTCAAAAACGGCTTTTGGACACGCATACACTGAAGGGTCCCACATTGAATTTCATACAGCAGACTGCACACTCCCTTCAGGAGTGGGGGCCCAAATGCTCAACATCCCACAATTCATCCCTCTCACCGAAACCGGTGCATCCCAAAGCTCACTTCAGGCGCGCGGAGTCGGGTGGCTTGGATGGATCCCTCCTGCGAAGCGGCGGCTTTGCTCTTCCGCGCAGCTGGAGGAGATGCTGCAGAGCAGAGCGCCCACCAGGGCCTCTGGGTCGGCGAACTTGGCTCGGCTGACTTGGCTCGGCCTCCCCGCCTTTTTCCACGTGGAACCTGACGTAAAGGGGGGGTCCTGGTTTGGACCATGTTTCTATTAACGGGACCCCCGAACGTCAGGTTCCAGGCTGATTGGCGGGAGGGGAGGTTGTTGGTAACAGCTGGGCTACAACCCACTTATCGGTCCCGCTGGCGTCAACCCAGGTTATAACCCAGATGGCTAAACACTTTCCAACTTCGCCGAACATCCAACCAAGTAACCTCTTTTCAAATGAAGCGGACGTTTTGGAGCAGCCCAAAAGGAAGGTCGTCTTCTAAAACCCGACATGGTCAGCTTGCATGAAAGAGTCTCGAAAGAATTGTTCCATAGACAAGCGTCTGAATATCTGATCTGGCGGAGTAGCGATGACTAGCCGATCTGATCTGTGCTTGAGGGCTTGGCGAGGTCACGTGGGGCATCTGCGAGGAAGTGCAGGCAAGACAGCTTGCAAAAACAAGCTGTCTGGTGGCAACACCTAAAACTACACCGCACTAATCCTGATGGTGCAAACACTAAACTGCTGCATGCAATATCCGCCAAGCCTTGATGACACGCGAGTTTGATATCACGGCCCCAGGCAACAAATAATATTCAGAATTTCCTGCTTTGTCCAATCATGTCATGGGTCTTCCAATTCGGGAAAGCGTCAAGTGGACAGTGTCGAGTTGGGCTCCCACCCAACAGCACACCCGCATGACTCTTACTCCTAAGTCAAGCCGTTTCACCAACACCCAGCAGTGACGTGCGCCTCAGCAGGGTTTCGGAAGCCAACCATTGTCACATTCCGAGCAGGATCGGTGTTCTGGTGGGTTAGGATGTGATTTCCCATTTTGAGTTGAAATCCCCAAGCCACCAATCCAAACCACCAACTGAGGGTTACCTGATTTGGTGTAAGTCCCAGGACACAAGCGTGTGACCCTGAGAATCTGCCACCTACTGGTCAAAACTTGGAAACCTCTCATTGCGTGTTTGCTCGTTGTTTTGCGGCAGAACTGCCATGAATTGCTCCGTTGCTCGTCCCTACAACTGGGCCGAACTAGTAATCACACACCCCATCAAAACTTTGGACCAAGATACGTAGGGCTTTGTTCAATATGGGAACGTAGCATCTGAATCCAGGTGCAGCTAAGCAGCTATCACGGTGCCGGGATCCTAGCGCTCGTGTTTGGCAGGCTGGTTTTGTAGCAAGCTCGGCTGCGGTATCTGCAAAAAGACAAGTGATTTGCCCAGAGGGACGGAGCCTTCCCCTGCGTAAGTGGGGTTAGAGTACTTGATAAGTTTGCAAAATCGATGAAACACTCAGGCGGGCATGGAAGAAAGCATGCCCGGAGCCAGAGGAAACAGCATCAAAGTCAAGCCGTGCTGTTTTCCGCGAAAGAGCGGGATGATTTCAACAATTCACTGGAAGTACCCTGTCAAGCTGGAAAACAAGGTGGCAACATCTGACAAATCTCCAGCTTCATGCTGTTGCATTGCACGACGGGCAAAAGCCTGATTGAAATTTTGAGGGCCGAATCGCAATCCGCAATCGTTTTGGTTGGTAATCTTCTTAATCCGTAATCCGCCCTGCACACTTCTGGTCGAAACCGCATGTTGGAGCGTGGAACATCCGTGTCATCCATAATCCGCAAGCCGCAATCAAATCCGTAAACCGCACAATCCGAAATCTGCTCATCATTGGGGTGTGCGTATTGAACAAACCCGAATCATACTGCCCTGCGCAATGAATCACGGCCTGTCCTTAACGCCTTTATGTTGTTTGCTCAGGCCAGAAACACATTCAAGGCGGGAGGGGCCCATGATGCTAAATACAACGCGCAAAGAATGTGCCAGAAATATCGAGCACTCGGGCTGGGCAATGCAAATTTGGAGTTGATGTGCGCAATTCCTGCATCTCTTTGGCTGCAAAACAGCGGCACTTTTCCTGACTTGGGAACTGGGCTTTGGGGTTCTGAGCAAAGCTCGAATATCAGTTGCTCGGCCCGAGCAGTGTAAATCTTTAGTTCCAGTTGCCTTGCTACGGACTTAGCTTGGAAGATAAGTCCAAGTTGCAGCTGACGTCTGTCAGTCCACGCAAGCTGCAAGTAACACGTCCTACATCGAAGTCTGCCCCATATGAAACGGACAGCTCAGATGAAATCACGCTAGTGTGGTGTCCAAGGGTCTTCCACAAGCCACCAGCACAGCACAGCTTATGATAGGGCTGAACTGCACACACAAACACAAACACAGACGCACACAGACACGGAGTCACACGGAGTCACACAGAGTCACAGACGCACATGCTACATATGGTAGGTGCAGTGTGGGCGAAGCAGGTTGAGTGTGGCCAAAACTAGGCCAAGTAGATAAACAAAACACATAAACATAAACAGTCCCCACAAACAAATCTTGAGGTGTGCTGTTGAAGGATGCAAGCCCGAGGTCGCACAAGAGAGCCAAGGTGGAGGGTCGGAGAGTGGCAAACGACGCAGATTCGGCAGTTACTCGAAATGAAGGCCGGTCGCACGGAACATCAAAGGGATTAGCTCCCCCTAGGGTTTTGATTGGCATTTGAAGGGAAACACAACACAAAATGGAAACACCCCAAGCATCTGCCGGCGCTTTCATCATGGCCCACCTCTTTGCTAATTTGCCCATTCCCGGCTCCTGCAACAGCTCCTCCATCTCAATGTCCTGATGGGCGTGTCTATTTTTCAGGGGACGCCCCAAATGACGGTTTTGCTTTTGGATTTTCTGTTAAAACCACCAAACCGGGGCACCAACTCCAGAAAAGACGAGCCACCCATATTCTCACATTCACAGCCGTACCTTCCGTTGGGGTCCGGATCTCCATAAGGCTTGGAACCTCCAAGATCCACCCACATCGGAAAGTAGGAGAACCCCAACATGAATATCAAAATCGATTTGTTGCCCTCTAAACCCTCCCAAAAACATAGGAAAACGGCGCACCCATGTTCCCTCCAATGGGTTCAAGAGGATCCCAAAAGGCCCAGCTCTTGGCCTTATGTTTCTGCTGCTTCGCCTGAGCTTGGGCCCATTTTGGCCCGCGACAGGCGCATCCAACAGAAGCTCTGTCTGGTGGTTCCTTTCGGAGTTGAGACTTTCTTTTGTTCAAACGCGAAGCTTGCAGCTAGAGCTGAATTTGTAGCCTTGCCGCCTAAAACCGACCTTAGTGAACCGATGAAGGGCGCTTTCCTCGAAAGTGACTTGATCAGCTGAGAGGCCTGCGCGAGACGACTGTCTGGTTTTGAGAAATTCGAGGGCCCCTTTCAGCAACTTAGCTTACAACCAATAAGTAAGACAGGGGTTAGTGGACATAACATGGATGAACAACCAATGGCCACAGATTTCCTACTTGGCTACCCCCATGTTCAAGATCTGTTTCAGAAACTCAGCTCAAGCCCCTGTCGCAAAGTCGGTGTGACCCATAAAAATGGGTTCCTTCACACGATTGTCCTTTCCTGCAAGCTGGGACCCGTTTATTCGAATCCGTTTCAGGTCCCCTGATTTTGATGGGAGGTTCCACATTTCGGGCCAGTCACGGCGATTTGCTGCAGGCTGGAATAACAGCCCCCTTGTTGGAATCAATCACGTTCTGGGCGATTACCCGACACAAGGTGGCCTCCTCAAGATCACTCTTGAAAGGTGCTTCAATAACATTGCCGTATATTGCAGTAAAGTGGTTTGGCGCCCGTGGTCACTGGAAAAGTGGGATTCTCCAACGAAAATCTACAAAACCCTGTCAAAAAAACGCCTCCGGAATAGGATTGCGTCCTCCTTTGCCTGGCAAAGCGTGTGTGAGTGTAGAAAATGCAACTACGTATGCCTTGCCTACAATTCAGTGTGACGCAGGTTCAGCAACACTTCAAAAGCTCGTCAAGAACAACTGGGGGGAAAAAAAAACACTTCTTCCTCTAGGGAACTCATGTCAAGCCGTTTTTCAAGGTCAGGGAAAGGCGAAAGTGGGCAGCTCCCCATTCTCATGCTCGTCAAACACCGTGCGAAACGCTCCTCCTTCTCCTTGTTATGGCTCTCGACCGCAAGATCCTGCGGTTCACAAACTGGCGTCGCTCAAATACGTCACCAAATTGTCACACATGGAATGACTGAGAATTCGCGCAGGGACCGCTACTATGTGGATGGCCAAAAACCAACTCGGCGGATGCAGTAAGCTGACAATTTTTTCCGGTCCCATCGTCCAGTTGCAAACTCCGACCACGGGAAGGCATCGACGGGCTATCAATCAACGATGTTTTGTGCGAGTATATTTGTGTTCTGCAGCAACGGCTATGACACCACTGTGTTGGCATTGACGGGGGAGACATACCTCCAGGGGTTTCTTAGGTGGTGCAGGATTTTGTCCATCCACTGTATGTTGATGGCATCTCTGGAGCCATGCTCGGCAAGAAAGATCGACCTCTTTTCAGGAGGCCACCACCAATCTGGGGAGCAGGGACTGGCTACAAAGCAATCAGAAGCGTAGCTCTGCCCATCTAGAAACGTCGCCAACCTTCCTAAGGTAGCAAAACGCTTGGGATAGTCTCTTTTCAACCGCTGATGAAAATGCTAAAACCCAATCGGAGAAGGCAATCCTTCGGGAATGGCATGCGATGCCTCACTTCACAAATAGAGGCACGTTTTGGGGATCCCCTCCAAGGCAGCATAGCGCAGCCAGGTGCCAGGGACAAACTGCAATGCAGGACTTTCTGGTTGATCGCCTTGGGCAAAGAAATGTTGACCCGTGAACACAAACATCATGTTTACAACAGAAAGTCGACTTGTCCGTAGCTTCCACATGGCTCAACAGCACATACCAAGACAATCAACGTGCCATTTTCCGAGCTCCTGGGACTCACTGGAGTACCCTGCCAAACAGCAACGAAACTGTGGATGGGGTCTCCAACACAGCTGTGGCAATTGTCAACCACAACGGGTCTCTGTGCCAGCCAACCAGCTTGTGCCTAAGGTCAAAATAGCTTCAGTGCCCACAAGTCTCTGGAATCTGCCCGACCTTTGCTCTCATCTCGCCTGCTTGCAACAAACTGCAAGGGAACAATGGCGTCCCCATTTCCATGGCGCCTTAGGCGTGCCTCAGCCACGCCCTCAGCCGGATCCGCACAAACGGGGCCGTCCTTGGGCGTGCGGCTGCGCCAGCGCTTCTTCTCGCTACGCAGCCGCCTATGGCGCAAAGTCAATCGAAGGGCTGGGCCCTCCGACATCCTTGACCCGCACACATCTCGAAGCAACAACTCGGAAGGCTAGTGTAATAGTGTGTATTTATGTGTATATATATATAATTTGCATAGAGAGACAGAGAGAGACTTTGCTTAGCGCACGCAGAAGCATGTATTATATACAGTGTTATACATAGATATACATTCATAATATATATATATATATATATATTAACATCGTTAAATCCTCCCACAACCAACCGACATCAGCATGTCAAGAAGAGCCGCAACATTGATGTTACCTTCACCCAAAGCCACACATCAAACAAATGCTTATCCTAAGAATGCTTCGGTTTGCCTGATTGGTCCATATTAGGGTCAAGGGACAGAACCCACAGGGAGAGTGCTGCACGGTTGTTTGCAAATGTTTCAAACATGACGCTAAATCGATAGACTAAACAAACCAACAAAACCACAGAGAGACATAAAAACAAACAAACAATTAACATAGCACCAGTTATTGTTTACTGGCAAACAACAACAATTCTTCCCCCCCCCCCCCCCCCTCGCCCCCCCCCCCGCCCCCCCCCCCCCCCGCCGGCTTGCTTTGGTTGCCTGTGTGTGTTTCTGGCTTTGGGGTCCAGTTCCAAGAACATGCTGTGCATTGCCAAATTCCAAGAACTCATGGCCGGAACATCTTTCTCAACTTGTCGCTCTCCATTCACCGGACTGGACCTTGGCCAAGAAATCTTGCATCACATGCCTCGGAGACATGATCTGGCCGATATCAGAAATTAGATGCTTTTCTGCTTGTGGCAGTCCCATCACGAGAGAGTGTTTCCCCATGAACACATCTAAAGTGCCTTTTTGTAAGCTCCATCCTGGTGTCCTCTATTCAGGAAAGCATCTTTGACTTGGGTTTTCCCTGGGGGTCCCCAAGAGGACTCTAGCCACTCAGCGCGGGCAAAACGGGGCGCCCCTTCTGGGCGCCCCCAAAACCTTTTCGCAGAAATGGGACATGTTTCCCGGTATTTGTTTTTGTAGGTTCCTAAAGTCTTAGAAATCAATCCCTGAAATCAGCACCCACGGCATGCCGGTCTAAACAACATAGCTTTACAAAAGCAACCCTTGCTCGGAACTAGTGTTCAATGCTGTTTACTTGGGGGGAGGGGTCAAAATTGTGCTGCAGCCCCCGCTTTCACAAATACACGCAGGAAAGCCGCATGCAATGTAGTGCAGTGTGCGTGTAGTGCAGCGTGGGCAATTTGACGCAGGCGGCACAGCGTGACGCAACGGGCAAGACAAGGCAATGCAAAGCTCAAGAATGTTTGTGAAGCTCCGTGCAAGCATCTGTAATGCAATGCCATGGCCATGAGCGCAATGCGACGTACGTAGCGCAGGTTCTTGCATTGTATGTACCTCCTGTAATGTAATGCCCGTGTCTATGCCTCAATCGACATGTGGATCAAGTGAGCTATTCACATACAGAAACAGACTCACAAGCGTGCGAATTCGAGGCCTCGAGGCCGCAGAAACACGCGCCCAAAGGCGTCCCAAAGGCGAGCGGCATTGCCAGGCAAAGACCCAGGAGCTGGAAGGGCAGGGCAAGCAGCATACCTTCCGAAAGTTCGTGAGCCCCGAAAAACGCGTGGACAACGGTCATGTTCAAACCCAAAAGGGGAGTTGTCAAAATGATGGCCCCTTTTTGGACCCTGGTGCCGCCTTGTGCCGCCTTTCAAAGGGATACCAAAAAGGGCCCCTAATTTTGACAACCACTCAAAAGGCGAAATGTAAGGACCTAGAGTTGCAACTAGTGACCCGTCCAGTAGAACAAGAACTGGAAATGCTTCTGGGGGATTCTGGGGGTTCATTTCATGTTCAGTCGGAAATTTACCAACAAAATGAGCACAGGGTGAGCAAACCGTTTGGACGCCGGGTTTTCAGCAGTTCCCGGGTACAACCACTTGCGAATCGCAGGCTAAAGTCGACTCGGTCATTGAGCCACTCCGTGGACGGACCCGACAACTGCAGCCTTCCGAGGGTGCAAATTGCATCTCCAAGAGCAGCCATTTACAGCACAGACAGTCGACTCTGCAGCAGGTGCCTTGCACAGTCTCTCGCTGCGGACGCAAGCTTGACCGGGACCGGCACCCGTACTGAGCCAGTCGCCAGGTCCAGATTCAGAATTCAGTTCATTTTCTCCGGTCTCGGCCAACGGCGCGGCACCCCGCGGCGTGGTAGCCGCCGGGGGAACGTGGGAGATCGTCAGCACGTTTTCCTGTTGGTCTCCGCCGGCGACTGTCTGATTTTCCTCTTTTACACGTTTGTCTTTGTGGCTGGGATGAGCAGGTAGGGCGTGCAACAGCCTTGCAACTACTTGTACTCCATCATCCTCTTCACGCATGTTCTTCCAAGTGAATCGTTGGCAATTGAACATCATGTGGAGAGGGCTCATGGAGTGGGTATACGAAGCCGGAAGGCTATGATGTGAAATGCTTGAGACAATACGGGGTATAATTCGGGAGCTCCTGTCGCAATGTGGTGCTAAGACTACCGCAGAAGAAACAACGATGTGGAGAGACAGCTTCTCAAACGACATTTGCTTGATCTAAGTTTGGGAATCCAGTCTGGCCCAACATCGTTGGCGTGCTTCCAGTTGAGTGCCTCTCACGTGATCCAACAGCAAGTCCTCTCAGATCTACTTTGAACAGGATCATCATGTCCACCCTGCCACACGCAGTCGCACTTGAGGACACTCAGAATGGAGATAGGCGTGTTGCTTTGCCTTTTGTTCAGCCGGGGATCTTGCTGATGCGGTGGTTCACATAGAAGTCCGATTGCTCAACGTTGCTTGTTTCATGGCGCACATGCCCCTGGTGCACGAAGCAAAGGAACGGAAATAGCATGGCAATGAATTTTCATGCATGGGTTTGTGCAAACACATGCAATAATCAAACGGTCAGACAAAATTTCTCAGCGTTGAGCCATGTCGTAGCCCGAAGTTCAACTTCGAAGCAAAATACAGAAGCCAATATTTCTTCAATCCCTGCTCCCCATCGACATGTGCAACCTGGGCTAGGTGAAGGACAGCGATTCAAACCAAAAACCGCTCACTGCATCCAAGCCACAGACTTGCACCCTCATGCATGTACTACCCGTGGGGCAGCGCTTGCTGTTGACGCCAACGAAGTAGCCATTTGTACCTGGCAATCCAAAGTGTTAAACTACACCTGACACACCATCCAATGATTGCAGGTGAGCAAAGCAAACCGAACACCTGGACCTGATGTCTGAGCAGCACCCCCATCATGAGTGGAAAGTGGCACGCCATTCTGCTCACGGGTCTTGCCTACCATGGCAGAAGGGGACAGCTAATTGCATCGTATGCTGGATATGTTCTGACTAATTAATTATTCTCCATTCAACGACCTATGAGGAAATCCCCAAGGCAAGGCAAAGTCCATGCATGGTAGCCCTTGTGGCCTCGAGCTGCACAATGGCAAGCTCTGAAAACTCCCCCCCATGTCTTCCCATTTGGCAAGCCGCACGCTGCAAAACTTAAGTGGGGACATCTGCGCAGAGCAGTCTGGACCAAATCTTGGGAGGTCACAGAAGCAAAATCCACTAGCAAGAGCATCAAAGCAAACCTCCCAGAAACTCTAGGCAGACCATGCGCATCCACGGGCCCCTCAATTCCCTTTGAATGCTTCATTCCCAAGCAACAGCTGGCCCGCATGATATTGCCATCAAAGTTCCCTCTTGTGGCTTAAAAGAAGGCCCCTGCTTCCGACTTTCAACGGGCTTGTACGAAAATCCCATGTCAGGCAAATCGAATTTTGATATGGGTGTGGGTCAAACAAAGGGAACCCCAAAATGGAACCCCTGGCAAATGGCACGGACTACAAAGCTGCAGTCCATATCCCGTTTCGGGCTTGGCCTGGGGCCCGGACCCCATGGGGTGTTGGCCACAGCCGAACCCAAAGCTCTGCCCAGAAATGAGAGAAAGAAGGCGACCTCGGAGGGCAGGATCGAAGCATCCTTTGGCTCGGTTTAAACATCAGCCCCGTGGCTCACCTCAGGAAGCTGGGCCAAACCAAGCGGAAACTTGGTGCTTGCCACTAAAATGCTCTGGCTTTGAGGTGAGTCTCCTTTTGGTGTGATCATTGAAGAGGAAAGGAGGCTCTGGTGAGAAACACCCACATCCCGAACACCGACGAGTTGTCCCAGGTTTGCCCCTCCGCAATTTGTTGCTTCCGGCTGCAGCAAGTGTCTCAAAGCACGCCAGTTGAAGCATTTCAGCCCAAGGCGTTTGATTGGAGACCCTGACACACAACCGTCCAGCCTCGCAACTTTGAATTTGACAGCATGTTGTTCTAGGTTGAAGCGGGGGCACTCATTCGCCTCATGCTCTGGGTTTCGGGCCCCCAAGCTCTGCGTCAAGTGCAGGGAAGTCGCCTGCAGGCTGCCGAAAATAGGGTGCCTCCCCATGTTGGGTCAAGGCCTCAATCAAGACCTGAACAGCAAGGCATTTGGAAGATGAACCGAGGGTTGGGGCAGGTTTGGGGTCCGTGCTATCACCCTTTGCCAACATATAACCAGGGTGGCTGACAGCCCTCATGACATGGAAGGAGGCAAAGGCACAGCCAAAACCTTTCCAGTTCTGGGGTTTGATGCTGGATTCAAATGCCTGCCAACCGCTCAAGTGCTATGATCAATTCCTTCTAAACATGCTCCCCCCCTCCTAGATCCTTTATGGATTTGCGCTGATTCCGATCGGCATGCTCGCTTGCCCATCCTTCCAAGCTTCCCCGTTAGATGTGGCTCACAGGCTTGCCTGGCGTGTGCTGCTCGGCACGCGAGACACCTGGCCTAAAGTTGGCTTTGGTCAAACCAACGGAGCGAATGGCTCGCCAAAGCGCGGCCAAAATCAGATCACTACAAGCTTCGGGCTGCAGCAGCAACCTGGGCCTGGGAGAACTACAATCAGGGGTATGACTAGTAGAACAGGGACCCTTGGGTGAACATGGGGATTTCAGTCCACCGACTATTGCCAGGATTCACCGTGAAATGTCTGGCCAAATGGCTTGATAGGCCATTTTTCCCGCTCCGAGCCTGAACCTCGTTCAGCAGCACCAGGCGTACTGACGCCTCGCACGCCCCCAGAAGCAGCGAGGCCAAGCAGCAAACGTCCGGCACCTCGGCGGTTCTCCCACACTGCCTTACCTTGGAAACTGATTCCACTGCGAATTTGACGTTCTAAAGCTGTTTCAATGAATCGCCGCAAATTACCTACGGCCAGTCTGATGAGTTGGCGCTTCTGCAAGTCACGTCCGGCTGACAACCCACCTACTGGCCCACTGGAAAAAGGCTCGGCAAGCTTTCCTGCTCTTGGCGAGGGGGCGCGCCAGCCCTGCCAGCCCACGGTGCCCTGCACAAGAGATTCACAACCAAAGAGGGGAGCCATCTCCAGGGCGAGGCAAACAAGACGAGGGAGTTGGTCCGGTGCTAAAAGGCCTTACGCGAGCAGGAAATATATGCATATGCCTCATCCCCCCGCAAGTTTTCCCTTAGCAACCCTGCAGAGTTGCACAAAAGCATGACCAATCACTGCCAGAAATTGATACCTTCCATGCGCCGCTACCGGAGCCCCGGATTCCTTGCAAAGATGGGTTGCCAATGAGACCTTCGAGGTGTGCGAACCTGCTGGGTTGACCCCTGGATAGAGGCAATGAAGCCTGTTTCAGGATTCAACCGCAAAACCACCAAGCACCACCCACCATTCATGGGGTCTCCCACAAAAAGGACACTCCCTGCTTGCTGTGGAGCATACGAGGGACGCGATGCGCTTGCGCTGGGCTTTAAACAGGGTCTGGAACAAGCTACCGCTGGCAAAGCAACCTCCATGATCCCAGATCTGCCCTCAGGAAGATAGGACAGTCATGTCCTGAAGTGGCTACAAGTGAGAATGTCTGAACATCAAGTGAGTCGCAATCAATGAATCAAACCCCGGCATTAAAATGATCGCCCCAAAACCAAAGCAAAGAATTAAAACCTGCGGAATCCCGCACCCAAACTTAATAAGGGGATTGTCCCTAACCTTCATCAATCTTCAGGTTTGGAGCGAGTGGCTCAAGTGCTTCCGGGCTCGAAATGGCATGGGCTAATTGTGGGATTCTCTCACCGCCGCGGCGCCAAGGATCCGTTGCCAGCGATAAACATGACCGGCAGCGCTAGCGCCACCAGCAAGCCGCAAATGAAGGCGACGCCCGCGATGACTGGGCACGAGGAATGCATGAGAGAAGCCGTGGAGCAAACTTGAGGGCTGGCAAGGCGTTCAGCAAACTGTGCACTTCAAAAGCCAGGTTGTCTTTCTGAATGGCTTAAGTGGCAACAACACCTCAGGACAGCCATTCAGGAAGACTCCTCTTGCTTGTGGCGAAGCTTGGATCCCAACCAACACATGTTCCAAGCTGCTCATGCTACAAAGTGAGTCACCCATCTCCATGAGGTTGCTCGCCGTTGCCATGGACTGAACAAAGGAACATGTGCAGCATAAAAGTTTCGCTTTTGAAACTGCAATTGCAAGCTCGGGGGGTAACCTTTTACAAAGTCGGAATGCATGCGAAAGCTACTCGGCGAGGCAAGCTCTACCAGCTGGCACCATTTTGGCGAGAAGGGGGTGCGGGAGTTGTCGCAGCTTGTGCGGCCCAGATTCTGAGAGGCGCTGACAAGAAGAAGGCAAACATCCAGAAGAAATCGGAAGTGCTCCGAAACCCTGCAATGATAGCCCCAGTGCAGACTCCGAACCCCTGGGGTGTGGACCCCCTGCAGAAAGGGTGCCGATTTGTTTTTCTGATTTTTTTGGGATTCTTTTTTCGTTTTTCGTCCGGGCCAGTAACATGTCGTATTTTACGGCATTGTCTCGCGAAATTGACGTCATTTTACACTAGCCCGCCAACATCCCCAGCATCGTTTTCAACATCCCCCGCATGTCCAACCAACATCCCTAGCATCACCAACGAATTTCGGGAGTGACGGGGTCAAAAAATGATGATTCAAATAGGAGGGCATTTCGATCCCTGTAAAAAAAAAAAGTAGCGGGGGGGCAGCAGCCCCCCCCATGATGTTCGAAGAAGTGATGATTGAAATAGGGGTGCAATTTAATTCTCTGTACAAAATTCGGGGGGGGGGGGCTGCCGCCCCCCATGATGTTCGAAGAAGTGATGATTCAAGTAGGGGTGCAATGATTCAAGAACGGGTGCGATAGAATTTAAAAGGCAGCGGGGGTGGCTTCCCCTATGATGTTCGAAGAAGTGCATACGTACAGAAATACATGGATTACATAGATTACCTAAAATGTCGTATTTTACGGCATTTTCTCGCGAAATTGGACGCTCGAAAAAGTGATGATTCAAACAGGGCTGCAATTAAATCTCTGCAAGAAATCTAAAAAGTAGCGGGGGGGTTGGGGGGGAGGCGGCAGCCCCCACCATGATGTTTGAAGAAGTGTTGATTCAAATAGCGGTGCAATTACTCTGCAAACAATCTCAAAAGTAGCAGGTGAGTGGGGGGGAGCTGTTCCATCAAGTGATGATTCAAATAGGGAGAAAACTGGTGATGCTGATGATGCGGGAAGCCAATCCAAAAACCAATGAAAGGGTGCAAAAGCCAAAACGCCTGGAGAGGAACTGGGAAAGCAGAGGATGCGAAAAGCGGAAGCCGCCAAAAGCCGCATAAACCAGCGAAAAGCCGCAAAAGCCAAAACGCCTCCTGCCAAAGAGGCACTGGGAATGCAGAGGATGCGAAAAGCCAAAGCCACCAAAAGCCGCATAAACCAACAAAAAGCCAAGAAGCCAAGAAGCCAAGAAGCCGAAAAGCCAAGAAGCCAAGAAGCCAAAAAGCCAAAAGCGAGAAAAAACAAAATACCCCTCCCTGCAGAAGAGCCACCGCCAAAAAAAAAACAAGAACACACATCATGCGTCAAAGATATCTCACGCAACCAACTGCGAGTGGAGGGGCCCCAGATATTTTTTCTTCCAGCCTTGGTGCTATAGGCGACCCTTTGAAACATCAACCACATCCCTAATTTTTCCTTTCAGGGGACGGAACTCATTTTCGCAACACCCAGACTCGGTGATTCGTTCTTCGAATCTACCCGCCTATCCCTTCGCACCTGTTGGGCCCAGTCCCATGACCCTCCGATCGAGTGGCTCCGCGAGGCATCGCCGGAGTCTGCCTTGCAAGTGTCACTTGCGATTCCCATGTTTGATGCTTCTTTGGAGCCCAGCGAACGAATTTGCATTGTATGAAGCAACTGGAAGCCAGGGAAACATGGAAGTGCAAATTTTCGGACAACTTGTCCAACAAAAATGGAGCCTGCACCTTCATGTCTCGAGGAAGGTAGCTTGAGACCCGCCGATGCAGTCAGCTTCCCTTAAAACAAGCATGCTCATGCTCCGGCAGACCTCTCTGATCTTAGGCCTTGTGGCAATCTGTGGCGATTTCTGTTGGACAAATCTTGCGCGGAGTTCGCCACGCGTTTTGGCCTTCAGCCGCTGGGATCAAAGTCAAAACACCGAGCATGTGTGGACGGTATCCTCGCGTCATCTAACCCGCCAGAATATGGCATCAGCTTTCAGGCCCTGTAAGTGCAAGGTTTGATGCATCCAACTGCCTGGTCCAAGGGCCAATGTATCTTTGTCGATTATATTGATCAAAGCCTAAAAGGGCCAAACATGATGTGATCAACATCAAGCCTGGGGTGAATCGCTTTCAACGCCAATGGAGGCTCGCCTCCAAACAAGAGGGCCCTATGTTCAGAACAACAAAGGTAGTAATCCGGTGAAGCCGTGCGAGCCGACCGCGCTTTCGGTCGAAGCTGCCTCTGCCCCAAAACTCTGAACTCCCTTATATCGAGTGTGGCCGCAATGACTGTCTCGTGCAAAAGGTGCCAAGAATGGCCAAAGCTCGATCTCACACACACACACACACACTATGGTGCCGTGGTTCCCCCTGGGACAACCTTGCCAATTGTGCTGTATTCTCGACATCTAATCAATTGAGCGACTCACTGAGGCCGAAGCCGCAATCTGCAATCCAGCATGTCAAATAAATGTTGGTTGTCTCTGCCCTTGTCAATTTTGTCGAGCGCTCGGGTTTGTCTCTGAGCCCCCAAACGACCAAACGACCTCGCGAAAATGCGGGTTTAGCTTCCCAAAATTTCCCAAATGACCCCAAGAGCTCCCTCAAATGGCTGTGGGTCAAGAATATATGTACCCAAAATGGAAACCTGGCAAATGTAAACAAAGACTAAACCAGCGGTCCTCTGGTGGTGTAATTTTGACCCACACCCAAATGGAACCACAACCCTCTCCACGCCGGACGACCCGTTGCGCATGCCGGGGCCTTGCTGAGCAACTGCCCCAGCAGGGGCAGAATTGCAAAGCCGCCCAGGGCATGGATGCCGGAGCTCGGAAAGCCCCAGATCCTGCCGTGGAAAGCTGTGGCTTGGCCCAAAGGGAAACCGCGTTTTGCAACAACTATTCTCGGTTGCTTTCTGCTCCGCTAAAAGTGAATAACTTTTAGTGGTTTAATGGAAACCCATTAGTTGGCAAAAACTGAAAGTCCTAACATCCAAGCCAAATGCACCAAAGTATTGATAAGCTTCCACTCCCAAACTAGCTGCGAGCTTCTCTCAATATCTCACAACCCAAACGAGCAAGAGCATCGGGCAGGGCTCCTGGATTGCTGAGAAAGCTGGGCGTCTATGATCGCGGAGATCATGGAAATTGCCACCAGGCCTTCACTCTTCACACAGCGATTGGGCTGGGGTGGGCAGCAAGCGCTGGGATCAAAACATGTCGTCTTGGACCCTCAGGGATGATTGCAGATGGCCACCCCTTGGATAACATCGTGATGCACGGTCATGTGTGTTTACATGTTTGCCAAAGCATCATGTGAGATGGCCTGCAAATCGTATTTATTAATAAGAAGGGATCAGACAACTGTGGCTTTCTGTTGCGTCTCCGTATTGGGCCATTCATAGCTGGCTATGGCACCTGGACACTACATGTCTCCTGCGTAGGGGCTATGAGACTGCTCTGATCACCACGTCCAGGAGCTCACAAATGCGTGGCCAAACCAACGACGCACACACATAAGGCAAAGACCATGCTAAACATAACAACCACGGCAGGCAATGGCCTCTTGGCATCCCAAACAGCTGCCAAGTTTTGCGAGGCCCGAAGCATTTCAGATCCAGCTGTTGCTTAGATCAGCCATTCTCAGCTTTCCGTGAAATGTTTTGGGCTGTGGGTGGCAGGTGCGGGTGAAAAGCCAACACACCCTTCATCCCCTCCTGAACACAGGAGTAAACCTCCCACGCCAAACAACACGCTGAACGTTCCGGTTGCATGGCGCGGCGCCCTGGGACGCTGCCTGTTCTAGTTTAGGACACACACAAATTGAAAGCACCAAACTCTGAATGCAAAGATTAGGCTGCAAGCTAGACCTTGGCAAGTAGGTATGCGAAAAAAAATCGGGGGCCCCCCAAAATGGCTTCGACTTTGCTGGTGGTTCCCTTAAACAAACCTGAAAAGGGCACCCTTCAACTCAAAAACAAGCCAAGCCCAAATCTCTCCATCGCCCCGCGCCCAACCTTCCTGCTTCAAGCTTAGGGAGCGTCTTTGGGCCTTTCTAGGGACCAATTCCAGGAGGGCTGGCACCGGCACACAGAACCCCCACTGAAGGCGATCAACTGTGTTGAAGGACCAGTTTGTTTGCTTTGGCTGGTTAAAACCCTCTTGAAAAAGGACAAGAACGCAAAGGGGTTCCTGAAAAGTTGTACGAAGCGGCGTCCAGGCTCTACCAAATGCCATCTTGGATGGCCGTTTTGCTGCCTTCCTTCTGGTGACTCTTTTGAAATTTTCCCCTTGGATCGGCCCATTCGACATACACTCCGAATTCCAGACACAAACTCCAACACCCAGAGCCTCCCGTGGTATGCGCTGCGGCCAGGATTTGAAAACAGCGCCTGCCGCTGCAGAAGGTGTCCTGAGCCGCTTGCGGAGGGGGGCGGGGTCCCGTGTTTGCACCTGCCCAGAATCTTACTGCAACGTGTGTGTGTGTGTCCGTGTGTTGTGTCTTGTGTCTTGTGTGTCGTGTGGTGTGTGTTGTGTGTTGCGTGGTGCGTGTGGTGTCCGCTGTGTGTTGTGTTTGTGCTGTGTTTTGTGCCGTGTGTTGTGTTGTGCGTTGTGTGTTGTGTGTTGTGTTGTACGCTGTGTGGTGTGTGTTGTGTTGCTTGGTGCGTGTGGTTCGCGCTGTGTGTTGTGCGCTGTGTGGTGTGCCGTGTGCTGTGTTGTGTGTGTGTGGTATATATTCTTGCATGTTGCGTGTGGTGGGCGCTGTGTGTTGTGTGTGTGTGTGTGTGCGCTGTGTGTTGTGTGCCGTGTGTTGTGTTGTGCGTTGTGCGTTGTGTGTTGTGTGTTGCGTGGTGCGTGTGGTTCGCGCTGTGTGTTGTGTGCTGTTTTGTGTGCTGTGCGCTGTGTGCTGTGTGGTGTGCCGTGTTGTGTGTGTGTGTTTGGCGCGTGTGTGGTTCGTGTGGTGCGTGTGTGAGTGTGTGTGGTGCCCTTGCGCGCGCGCGCGCGCCGTGTTCCTAAGATTTCCTAAGTCTCTGTTTGTCTTGGGGCCTGGCGCAACCATCCTGAGCCCCTGCTTAGCCAGTACAGCATCACAGCATTTCTGTCTCCTGACGAGGGCTGTGACGTCTCAACGCTTTGTGCGCAATGAAAGCCGGAGCTGATTTTTTGAGTTTGTTCTTTCTGGTTCTGCTTCGGCTTGAGAGGATGCCACCGCATTCACGCAGACTCATGCGAGCATATGTCAGCCCTGCGTTGAGCTACCCTGAGCCTCTGCTCAGCCAGTACTACCATTAGCGCTCCTGATGAGGGCTGTAATGATTCAACGGTTTGCATGCAAGGATGCCGAAACTCCATCTTGGAGCGCCCGATTCGCTTTCAAATTCTGGATCTGGTTCTTATTCGGCATGTGCTTCAAAGGATGCCTCCGCACTCATGCAGGCTCATGCGTGCGTGCGTACGTCGTGCGTGCGTGTGCGTGTGCGTGTGCGTGTGCGTGTGCGTGTGCGTGTGCGTGTGCGTGTGCGTGTGCGTGTGCGTGTGCGTGTGCGTGTGCGTGTGCGTGCGAGCGCGTGCGCACGTGCGTGAGCGTGTGCGTGCGCGTGTGTGTGTGCGTGTGCGTGTGTGCGTGCGCGCGCGTGTGCGCATGTGCGCGCGTGCGCGCGCGTGCGTGCGCGCGTGGGTGGGTGGGTGGGTGGGTCGGTGGGTGTGTGTGTGTGTTTGTGATTTCGTGCGTGTGTGTGTGTATGTTTGTGCATGTGCGAGTGGGTATGGGTGGCTGTGAGTGCGAGTGTGTGCGTGTGTGTGTGTGTGTGTGCGTGTGTCAATGTGTGTGTGTGTGTGCGTGTGCGTGCGTGTGCATGCGTGCGTGCGTGCGTGCGTGGGAGCGCGGGTGTGTGTTGTGTTGTTTGTGTTGTTTTTATTGTTGCGGTAGTGGTAGTGGTAGTGGTTGTCGTTGTCGTGGCAGTTGCCGTTGCCTTTGCCGTTGTTGCTGTTGCTGTGGCTGTTCTTGTTCTCGTTTTGCTCTTCGTCGCGCTGTTGCTGTTGCCGACGCCCTTCTTGTTGTTGCTGCTTCTGCTGTTGTTGGTGGTGGTGCTGGTGGTGTTGCTAATGTTGTCATTGTTGTTGGTTGCTGTTGCTGCTGCAGTTGTTGCTTGTTGTTGTTGCTGCTGCTGCTGCTGCTGTTGTTGCTCGGTGTTGCTCGTTGTTGTCGTTATCGTTATCGTTATTGTTCTCCGTCTTGTTGCGGTTGTTGTTGTTGCTGTTGCTGTTGCTGTTCTTGTTCTTGTTGTTGTTGTTGTTGTCGTTGGTGTTGTTGTTGTTGTTGTTGTTGCTGCTGTTCCTGTTCCTGTTCCTGTTCCTGTTCCTGTTCCTGTTCCTGTTCCTGTTCCTGTTCCTGTTGTTGTTGTTGTTGTTGTTGTTGTTGCTGTTGCTGTTGCTGTTGCTGTTGCTGTTGCTGTTGTTGTTGTTGTTGTTGTTGTTGTTGTTGTTGTTGTGGTTGTGGTTGTTGTTCCTGTTGCTGTTGCTGTTGCTGTTGTTGTTGCTGTTGCGGTTGCTGTTGTTGTTGTTGTTGTTGCTGTTGCTGTTCCTGTTCCTGTTCCTGTTCCTGTTCCTGTTGTTGTTGTTGTTGTTGTTGTTGTTGTTGCTGTTGCTGTCGCTGTCGCTGTCGCTGCGGCTGCTGCTGTTGCTGTTCATGTTGCTGTTCCGGTTGGTGTTGTTGTGGTTGTGGTTGTGGTTGTGGTTGTTGTTGCGGTTGCTGTTGCTGTTGCCGTTGCGGTTGCTGTTGCTGTTGCCGTTGTTGTTCTTGTTGTTGTTGTTGTTGTTGCTGCTGTCCCTGTTGCTGTCGCTGTCGCTGTCGCTGTGGCTGCTTGTTGTTGTTGTTGTTGTTGTTGTTGTTGTTGTTGTTGTTGTTGTTGTTGTTGTTGTTGTTGTTGTTGTTGTTGTTGTTGTTGTTGTTGTTGGTTGTTTGTTGTTTGTTGTTTGTTGTTTGTTGTTTGTTGTTTGTTGTTTGTTGTTTGTTGTTTGTTGTTTGTTGTTTGTTGTTTGTTGTTTGTTGTTTGTTGTTTGTTGTTTGTTGTTTGTTGTTTGTTGTTGTTGTTGTTGTTGTTGTTGTTGTTGTTGTTGTTGTTGTTGTTGTTGTTGTTGTTGTTGTTGTGGTTGCTGCTGTTGTTGGTGTATGATACATGTGAAATTGTGTTCTTTGGGCGTGTGCATTTGCGTACGTTTGCGCGCGTGCGGGCAAGCGTGCGTGAGTGCGTGCGTGCGTGCTTGCGCGCGTGCGTACGTGCGTTTGCTCGTGGGTGCGTGGTGCGTGGGCGCGTGCGCGCGCGCGTGCGCGTGCGTGTGTGTGTGTGTGCGTGGGTGCATGTGTGTGTGTGTGGCCAGGTGTCTTGGTGGTGTTGGTTTGCCGATGCATGTGTACCTGCAACTTCCGAAGGGTACATGTTTGTTTGTCGAAAAGACTATATAATTTGTCTGCTGCTTTGCGAACATTTTGCCGTTGCCGCAAAAACTGCGTGCCACGAGGTGCAAACGCGTAAGTTGCCTTTTCGACCATTTGGTTGGGTAAAGCTGTCGTTTCGAGTTGGCACAAAACTACGAGTTTGCGGGCACGTCATCAATAGAGCTCGATCTGGCGATCAGGATTCCCTCCTCCATAAGTTTAATGAATGGCAGAAGGCAATGTTCAAGGCGCTGATCCGGTTTTCTTTCTTCCTTGGTTTTCGGGGTCTCGCGTACGTACGGCCAAAGTTGGAATGCATACTTCTGATTGGCACAATTTACCCCCCTACTAACTGCAAAAACATAATGCTGATCCAACTGCGACGCACAGCATCGATGCTTGGCGGTTTAAGTGTCAGCTTCCCTCATTGGTGTTTGGGATTGGTGGTTTGGAGGTGTTCCGGGGGTGGTTTCCATCCTCGACAAGAACCAGGTGTTGAAACCACCACCGCAATCCAACCCATCAAGCCTGAAAATTGGGTCACACAAGACTAGAACGGCTTGTTATGTAAGCCGACGCTTGGCTCGTCTCAAGGCTGTGACCGACACAGCTTGGCATGATGGCTGCAGCTTGTCTCGTAGCTTGGCCTCATGCCATGTCCTCTGGCAGAAAAGCAGAAATGAAGACATCCTGCACCAGTTGGGAGAGGGAGGGGCAACTGCATCCAAACCGCTGGCACAATTTCTTGTTGCACAGCTGAGCGCAAACTCCTGGCTGTACAAACTCCAGAGTTAGCACACCCCCGCCCCCAACGCAAAAAGGAGGTTCCTCCCCGCGCGCAGATCTGAACTCTGCTCCCCGAGTACCCGAGTACCCGAGTACCCAAGTGCCCGACCACGCAGCATTCATCTTCCGCTTCAAAGTCCTGGCGATTTTTGCCGGGCCATTCCAGTTGCTCACTTGCCCAAGGACCTCACAGGTGAACCTTTGTCGGCCACTACAACTAGACTAGGTGAATCGTTCGCGCCCGGAAGTGAACTGGTCATCTTAAATGGTCTCGAATCCCGAAAATCACCACAAGGATGTATAACGATCCTGGAGAAGATAGAAACTTTTTTTGGGAAAGTCAGGGCGTGCAAAACCGGAGCGCCGCGGCAAGATAGAAACCCTTCCGCAATAAGATAGAAACTTTTTTTGGAGAAGTCGGGCAGACTTGCAAAGCGACGTGCTCCGAATAGGAAAGTAGTATTCGAGATTCAATTTTTAGTATGGGGCATAGTACTGGCAATGCCACATCTAGCGCTGGCAATACTGAATCAAGTACTGGGAATGGTAAATTTATTACTGGTAATGTACTACATTTAGTACAGGCAATGCCACATTTAGTACTAGCAATGCAGTACCTAATTGCCAGTACCTAATTGTGTGTCCCCTGAGTGTTGCAAGTACTAAATTTCCTACTACCAGCACTGAATCTAGTATTGAGTCGCAAATGTGGTAGTATTATAATAAAATTGGTATTGTCAGTACTAAAATTCTTTAAATTTGTATTGCCGGCACTTCATTTTGTATGGCAAATGCACCATTTAGTGCTAGGTTTAGCCTTCCGTACATATTATGATCCATTCGGCCATGAGGTGTTGCAAGAGTTTCTATCTTGCTGCAGACCCTGTAAAATACAGGGTTTGCAACAAGATAGAAACTTTTGACTGGGCGTTCAATCAAAACGGCAATGTCAGTATTCAGTTTAGCATTGCCAAATGCCACATTTTGAACTTAGTCTTGCTAGTGCTTATGCAATTTAGTATTGCCAGTAGTAAATTTAGTACTGCCAATTTGCAATTTGGAATTGCCAGTGCTTAATTTTAGTTTTGCCAGTACTAAATGTAGTATTGCCAGTACTAAATGTAGTATTGCCAGTACTGAATGTAGTATATATTGCCAGTACGATTTTTTGGCGAGGAATTGAATTGGTTAAACTCCTTACTAAAAAAATGCATTTTGACATGATTTTGGGCTTCTAGAAGGGGGGGTAGCTCTGCAAGTCCACAATCACCCCCTCAGTAGACGTTTGGGTCCCGCACAAGAGTAGAACAGTTTCGGACAGAGTGTCGTTTGCAGTTCCAGGGAAGGATCCAAAAAGTTTCTATCTTTGTTCAAGCCCTGTGTTTTTCAGGCCTTGCGGAAAGATAGAAACTTTTGCTACGGCCCATGGCCCAGAAAAGTCAAAGTGCTTGAAAGTACCAGATTGAGGATTGCCAGTACTAAATTTAGTATTGCCAGTACTAAATTTAATATTGCCAGTACCTAATTGTGTGTCCCCTTAGTGTTGCAAGTACTAAATTTCCTACTACCAGCACTGAATCTAGTATTGAGTCGCAAATGTGGTAGTATTATAATAAAATTGGTATTGTCAGTACTAAAAATACTTTAAATGTGTATTGCCGGCACTTCATTTTGTATGGCAAATGCACCATTTAGTGCTAGGTTTAGCCTTCCGTACATATTATGATCCATTCGGCCATGAGGTGTTGCAAGAGTTTCTATCTTGCTGCAGACCCTGTAATATACAGGGTTTGCAACAAGATAGAAACTTTTGACTGGGCGTTCAATCCAAACGGCAATGTCAGTATTCAGCTTAGCATTGCCAAATGCCACATTTTGAACTTAGTCTTGCTCAATTTAGTATTGCCAGTAGTAAATTTAGTACTGCCAATTGCAATTTGGAATTGCCAGTGCTTAATTTTAGTTTTGCCAGTACTAAATGTAGTATTGCCAGTACTAAATTTAGTATTGCCAGTACTTAGTTTTATTTGCCAGTATACTGTTCTGACATTTCCGGATGTTACTTGCGAATGCAAAATGAACCCTTTGCAGGGTTTCAGCAAGATAGAAACTCTCGCACCTGCGCGCGCTCCCAAAAAGCGGCGCCTCGAATACTTCTCTCCTTCTTAGAGTGTTGTTTTTTGGGAGCGCGCGCAAAGGTTTCTATCTTTGCGCGGCACAACCCTCCCAAATGCATCTTTGGGAGCGCGCGACGTTTCTATCTTCTCCAGGACCGTTATACTAGATTCATGGCGGCCCATATGATGCATAGCAAGCAGAAGTCTCAACAACGACATAATGTCCGCATCATCAAAGCATACTGCGCCACAAACCTTGGGCGGCGCATACAGCAAAGTCCGTCATTGCGATCGCTCTTCTTTTCCAGGCTTGCGCAAGTCCTGCCAAGTTCAGACTACACCTCTGCGTGGCACACCATGCCACACACGCCGAGAGGCTCAAAACCAGAGGGCCCCCAGGTCTGGAATATTGCAACTCAAGCAAAACGCTCTGACCTGGAGGCGCTCACTCCATGACAGCCGGCGCACGTGCAACCTGTCGTCACTGCGATCGCCCTTCTTTTTCCATTCCTGCCAAGTTCAGACTACACCTCTGCAAGGCACACCATGCCACACAGAGAGCTTCCTCCACGCCTAGCCTCTTTACTCGACGTGGCCCCAACATTTGCGGGCAAATCAAACGAGCAGGATGTTTAAAACAGCACCCAAGCCCTCAACCAACCTGATTTGCTTGAATTGAAAGCACGTGGTACCTTTTCAGCACCCCTGAGCCCTCACCACGGATCCTCCCAACACAATTGCCCGCGCTTCCGCTTCGATGGTGCACCATCGCCGTGCCTTCTTCTGACGTCTTTCTCAGTTCTTCGTCCAACTTGCCCGCCAGCTCTATGAGGCTGCTCATGACCTTGGACTGCAGCTGCTCCATCTTTATAATGATTCTGTTCTCCGGGGCGAAATCGTCAAACCTCTCATTTGTTAGGTTGTCCCTCCGTGTTCTGGCCCCTCGGATGCCATTGCAGCTCCATTTCCAACTCCAACCTGTCTAGCTGCAAGGCCAACTCCGTCACCGCTATGTTTGCTGGATGCGAACTTCTTCAGCACGTGATAGTTTCCCAGGTTGTCCGTGTAGGCGTTGAACACCACTGACCGACTTCCCGCTCGCCATTGGGGGTTGTCGCCGAAGACCATTGGGGCCACCAGGACTGCTACAAGCTCCAAGCTGGCAATGTTCCGGAACGGCTCCCCCTTCAAGAAGACCCAAGACGCATTTCTTCTGCTAACCGTGCCTCTAGAGTGCTCTTCCAAAAACATTCCGCGAAAGTTCTCGGAGGCCTGCTTGCCTTCCGCGCCGGGTTGTTTTCTACTTCCTCCTTGACATCCTGCGCCGCATGCGGGAAGGCAGCATATGCGCCCCCCGGCAGCGATGAAGACCAAGAGAACATGCGTGCCAAGAAGGGTCGAACGTGACTGAGCGCTCCGGCCACGAATGACAGCCTACCCGCCAAGAGCTCTCGGCCCACAATGTGCCTATCCACTCCACCACCCATGCTTACTTCCTGCCACTGATGCCCTTCACATACTTGTGAGCGTCCAAGTGGTAGCCCATCCACTCCACCGCCGTGCCTCCCTTCTAGCTGACTGGCACCTCCGCAAGCTCTAAGCAGAGGAACCAGAAAAGCAACCTGAGGCCTGCGGCAAAAGTTGCTGCCCGCTGTCGCTGTTCTCCGGCGCTGGAACCAGACAGTGAGCCCTGGACACGTCGTACACCATGGAGAACCTAACAGCTCCCCGACATCGCATCACGTCCTCCTCCACCTGCGCAACGACGGTCGTCTATCAGCGGAAATGCCTGGTTGTAAGCTGGAGGACAAGCTCACGCCGGCGTGGAGCAGATCTTCGACTAGTTCGAAAGTGGAGAATTGAAGAACATGAGCTTGGTGGAGTTCGCGGGAGAGCGAGGTCTTCGGGGCGGCCCCGAGGAGTTGCGGCAGCGGACGTGCGAGCTGGCGCATCCGTACCTGCTGGCACAGCTGAAGTTTCCGCAGAAGGCCTCGTGGCGAAATATCGCTCCTCTACATTTCCTCAAGTAACTTGGACTTGCTCTTGGGAGAACGTTCCTGAAAGAGCGCAACAAGGACAGCGAGGCGGCAGCGACTCCCCGAGTTCAACCTGGTGCTGTCCTATGAGTACCAGATCCGGCGCAAGAAGGTTAACGAAGGCGCCATCAGGCATAAGGCGCTGCAGGCGCGTATGCAGGACACCACCATCAATTGGAGCAGTACTTCCTCACTCCGAATGTCTGGCGCAGGCGTCGGGCGGCCCCAGATCCAGAAGCCCACCAAAGATCCCAGGAATGGCGCTCCTTCAGAGAGCACGGCCAAAACAGAAAGGGCAAGAGCAAAGGCAAGACCGTCGGCAAGTTTGTTAAAAATGGAGCTCCGCTTGCGAACACTGCAGATTTCAATGCGGTCGACATCCTGCACGCATGAGGTGCTTTGGCTCACACCCTGTCCATGCATGCTGTGGTTGTAAGGACACTGCCGACGACGAACAGGGACGGAGGCAAGGGCCCGCTCCCCTCCCAGTGGTGCCGCAGCATGCTGGGAGCAATCAGCGCATGCGAGTTCTGTACCTTTTCAGCGGCGAGCACAGAAAATTTTCTGTGGTAAGCAAGCTCAAGGAGTTATCTCCGTTTCCTCAAATCATGATCTTTCACAAGCAAGTCGCCAGAAGCACTGCCTGGAGCCAATTGCAGGGGGCCTCCGATGGTGCTCCAAGGACATGGGGTTGTTTGGTGAACACCCAGAAGACCTAGGCACCAATATGGAGGGAAGAAGACGGCAAGGAATTGCACCCGGCCTCGCAACGACGGGCAAGGCGATGGCTCGACAGGTTCATCTTTGGGGACCTCGCAAGTCACTACTTCGGCTCCTGCGTCATCGGCCTTGGCAGCGTCTTTCTACCTCATCACCTCCGGCTACAGCGGCTACGGCAGGCAAGGCGATGGCAGGCGCTACGGGAACTTCTTTGGTTTGTAAGTGTCCTGTTCGGGGAGAAGGCCTACTGGTGGGGGAAACGTCTCCACGATATGGAGGAGATTAACTTTGGCTGGAAGATGGCCCATCGAGAAGGACTAACACGGCGGAAGGGAGTGCTGGGAAGCTTGCTGAAAGGGTTCGTGTTTGCCGCAATGTTCTGGAGGATGGCGAAAGGAGGTCTGAAGGCTTCACCCTTTGGATCAGATGTGGTAGAGTACAGAAAGGCGGTGGACGAGTGGTTGAGCAGCAAGGGATACCGCTCTCCATTGCGGCGAAGCTGGATCTGCTCAAGCAAAATGCTCTGACCTGGAGGCGCTCACTCCATGACAACTGACGCACACGTGCAACCTGTCGTTGCTCATGTATGATTTGTGTGCATTGCGGTCTTCGTCTTCGAGTGTATTGCGCTCACCAACCAGTGCGTTCTCTAGCAGCTATCCCGGTTTTGCTCTGGCTTTGGGTTCCTGGAGATTCCGAGGCTGTTGATACTTTGGCTTTTCTCAGCGCTCACCTCCTGAGTGTCGCCGAACAAACCCAAACTTTTGGTTTGCCAGCAAAGAAAGTTTTAAACAAATAGGGCGGCCCAACAAATCGAGGCCTTTGGCATCCTTTTTGGGCTTCCCTTCGACCCCAAAAAACCGGAACCCCGCCCCAAACCGAAGCCTGCCGCCGCAGCGCCGCTGCCGGCAGCCGCGGCTTCGACATCCCGGCGCTCCAAAGAACTTGAGAGGCCTGAACAAACAAATTCTCAGTTTTTCAGTGACCCTGGAAAAAAAGAGACCATTTTCAGTGGGGCAGCCACCAAAACAAAAGGGAAAAAGGGGGCCACTGAACAACCAAATACTTGCGTTTTGCTTTTTGGCTTGGTTCCCGATACTTCTTGGGGGGCTGGGGAACCAAAACAAACAAACAACAAGATCACATTTTGGGGGTTCCCCTATTTTGTGACTGGCCCTATGCCCGAGTATCCCCAAAGACAGAGCGCTTCCGGAACCCTCCCTTGCTGACTCCAGGCAAAAAGATCTAAGCCGCTTGGCTCATAGAATTGTTGGAGCCAACATCCATGCGTAACAACCCATCCTCCCAAAGCTCGGATTTGAAGGAACGAGCTTAGAACAGTTTAGACAAACACCTTAGGAACTCCACTTCAACACAGAAGATACCCCAACAAAGAAACACAAGGGATGGCGGGGCGCCTATATCCAACAATCCTACATGATGTGAGTCTGCGGAGCAGCAACATCGCTGCATCTGAAGCTTAACACCAGCCCTGTCAACCTTTGATCTGAAGCTGCTCCGTAGAAGCAATACACGCGCGCAACCTTCTGGCCGCGGAAAATGCTGAAGCTCTTGCTTGACGCAGCACCTGCGCTTGAGCCATGGCCGAGCGGGTAGCAAGATGTAAAAATCAAGAAGGTCCCAGGCAGCGCTACGCTCCGTCCAAATGGGGTCCCCCTTTGCTGCGCACCCAAACCATCAAAATCATACTTTGCCAGGAATCCAGGAAAAGGGAGGAATTCAAATGGAATGCTGAAGGCATAATTGAGACTTGTAAATTCAAAAGTGCAAGGCGCGAATTCATATGCACTTCAGCATTCCAAACAAACGCAGTTTAAATTCGACTTGTTTTGGAGAGCCCTACTCCAACAGCAAGTGAGGTTGGCGGAACATTTGCCGGTCTAGAGCTGCTTCAACATTGCCCAATTCTGAGTTCAAATTGGCAGGTTACGAGTCCGGAAGCATGCCATTAGTTATTTCTTATTGGGCTGCATGTAGCAATCGGTTTTCCTGGGCATCCACTACTGCGTGCGCACCAAGTGGCATATATGCGTCCTCATCCTTCGCTGCTTGCCAAGCACGCTTTCAGGTTGTTTTTTTTCAGGGAAGCCAAAAGGAGCATACTTTGACACGTACCCAGAATGTGGAAGGTGACCGGAAGACAAGAGACCCAGGACATCTCGAATTGGGAAAAGGATCCAACAACAATCGGAAGAGAAGCCCCAGAAAGAAATCCTGTGGTACGGGTCTGAGGATGTGCAGATTGAGAGCCGATATCTGAGTGCAACAATCCCCCATTTTAGGAGTCTGCTTTTCGAGAGACCCGCTTTGTGGGTAAACATGAAACTCAACTGGGGTCACGGGGCTGCCGCTGTTGTTCAACGGGCTGAGGTGACATTTGCGCGTGTCTCAATATTGGGGGATCCCTAAAAAGGTCGATCTTCCAGTTTCACCCAACACTCAGAAGGGCAGCCTCGAAAACGACACCCCCGTTTGGGCGGCGTTC